CGCCATGAGTCCAGAGATTTATAATTTAACAAAAATCTCGTACAAAAACTTCTTAATGGACGCCAAATACTCGAAGAAGTTTATCGACGAATTGGTTCAGTCGATATCGTTAGTCAATTACGGACAGGACGTCTCTATTCCTGCATTTGTTGGTCTGTTATCACTATTTATAAGATAATTGTAAAAATGTAGTTCAAGTGTTGTCTATAATCACCACTTTGTTTGTGCCCAACAGGTTGTGTGTCGTTTGCCGGCGCCGGTGAACAGTTGTGGGCCATTAAAGGCGGCAATAAATTACTGGCCAAACAATTGGCCCACAATTCCGAGGCAACGATTTCGTTGAATACGAGAGTGAATTCTGTGACTCAATTGGACGCCAATCTGTTTGAGTTGAGTGTCACCGACGAAAAGTCGGGCCAAACGTCGACTAGACGCTACAACAGTGTTATTATCGCCACTCCTCTCACCGAAAATCAGCTCAAATTCATTAATTTCAGCACTAATTTCAATGTAAACTTTCCTAAACGCCAATACCATAGGACGGTCTCCACACTAGTGGCCGGACATCTCAATAAGAAATGGAAGGGAAGGGATGTGTTGAGTGACAACGAGAGCACATTCTTCACGTCAATCGGCAGAGTATATCCGGTGGACGACTCGCGTGACGAACGGACACCAGTCTATAAGGTGTTCAGTCGTACGCCACTGACCACCGATCAGTTGGACCTTATTTTTGAAGACACTCAAGTGGTTTACGTCAAGGACTGGTACGCATATCCGCACTACGACTCTGTATCGGAACCGTTGCCGCCGTTCATCCTATCGCCCGGTGTTTATCACTTGAATGCCATTGAATGGGCCGCCAGTGCTATCGAAATGAGTCTAATCGGCGGTAAAAATGCGGCCCTTTTAGCCTATAATCAATTGGGCGGCAAAACAGGAGACGCTAACACTTATACTCAAAACACTGCAAATCATCAAATAACTGACGAATTATAGCAATGTTTGCCAAACAATGTCTAAAACTGTGTTTAAAATTAATTGAACCAAATTATGAGATCACAATCACAACACTTTTCATAGCCCACCGACATATCGCTCAAATTATTTACTAACGTTGTGTCAATTGTTACCAATGTTTTTGTTTATTTATTAAATTGCAATAAAATGTTGATTACCTTAATAATAATTTTTTGTTAATATTTTAAATATTTAAATAAAATATACAGTAAAATATAGTAATTAATGACATATTAATAGATTTCCTTTTCGACATTATAAGCCTTCATATCGTCCCTAAGAGTCGCCAAATCGTCTTTTCGGCGCCGAATGAACGCACAGTTGTCTCCTTTGATGTCTTTCTTGGCTTTGCGTGTCTTCGCTCTCTTATCGGTTCTGTTTCTCTCTTTTCTGAGCTTTTCTTTGATCTCTTGAGGTGTGAAAGTCGTGGCCACAGAAGTCGCTCCACCGAAGCTGCCATTCGACTCATTGTCTTCATTACTATCGCTTAAATTATTCCCATTTGTCGTCTCTTTTATATCTAATTTATCGATATTTTCTGTCAATTGTTTTTCGGTATCGTTTTGGTTGTCCTCTGATATATCGGTTAGTATTTCATTAACTTTTGGTTCACTTAATACTTCATTATCTTCTTTTACAATCTCTTCGTCTTCTTCCTCGTCTTCATCACTGGTCTCTTCTTCATCTAAAAGACTCAATTCATTCAATTTGTCGACATTTTCCTTCTCTATGGCCTCAAAGCCGGGAATAAAATCCGATTCATAAGCGAATCGTT